GTAGTGAGAGGCTCCTGTACTGAGAAGTGCAGATGGAAAGTGAACACATGGGTAGTTGGACTAAGGTAGCACATGCTGGTAAGACTCTGCATCACAGGCTGGGGCCACAGGCTAGGCCCAAGTTCCATTCCTGGGCCAACCTAACAGCTACGCTTGGCGATACACTCCCTTAATCCCAGGGACTCGGGAAGCCATGGCCAGTCTGCTACACAGTGAGACCCTGTCTTCCTGGTTTGTGTCTGTTTTTGTTTTTGTTTTTAAGGGGTGGAGAGCAGTTGGTGTGGAGGGTAAGATGCTTAGATCCCACATGGCTGAATCGGTGGTTGCAGTCCCAGATTCAGAGGCTTGGAAAACACACCAGACACATTTTTGTGCATGCCCAAAGAGGAGAAGGGTTTACAACGTGGCCATCCTACCTGGGGGGTGGGGGTCTCAGTTCTCACTTTCTCTGTCTCTGTATCTCTCTCTGGCTATGGCAAAAATATTTTTAAATTGTTTCAAAAATAAGAGGAGAAGGAGCCAGCAGATGGTGTGGTGATTAAAGGCACTGGACTCCCACATGGCCGACTGTGGTTCGAGTCCTGGACCTGGGGGCTTGTTTTCTTACTTTCTCTCTCACTCTATCCCTCTCTGATCAAATTAAACTAAATAAATAAATGGATTAAAGTTAAATAAAATAAATTTTTAAATAATAAAAAATAAAAGAGGAGGCAGTAGGTGGTGTAGTGGCTAAGGCACTAGACACGCACACGGCTGACCGCAGCTTGAGCCGAGACTCAGGGGACTGAAAAATTACACTGGGCACCTGTGCCCAAAATCCTGAGAGGAGAATGGAGAAGGGACTGTGGCATGGCCATCCCCTCAAGGGGGCGATTTCTCGCTTTCCCTCTCTGTTTCTCTCCAGAAGCACATGAGCCATATGGCAAAAACCTTAGGGAGAAAAAAGACACATGCAGAGAGGAAGGGAAGGATTTTCCTGGGCAGAAAGGCAGTGAAGAGGGCAATGGGATGGGGAAAGACTGAAAAATCTGTTAGAAATTCTGTCTCTGATCTGGCCTGGAAATACTTTCTGCTTAGAAGGCCTTTTTTCTGTCTCTGGAGAGGGCAAACTAAAAAAGAAAAGTGAGAGCTGACTAGGAGGTCTGCTTTTAAGATGAAGACATAAAGACAAAGATCTTCATGTTTCCCTCAGGGTTATGCACCAAGTCCTCTAGAATAAGCTGCTGCATCAGGAAGAGACCTTCGCGGGGGTGAGGCAGCAGGAAGGGCCCTTCCATGGGCGCGGACTAGCGCACACACAAGGTGCCGCCGGGCTCTCCACCATCTGGTCTCTGCCTTAGCGCTGACTGTTCCCCTCCTCCCGATCTCATCTCATCTCCCCACACCCACACACACCACAACCTCTGAACAGACTCCATTATCTGCAGTTTCAAGCCTACCATTATCTAACATGCCCTTGTCCTGGCATATGCCTGGCATCCCTTCCCATTTTTCATGTTTTCTGTCTGGCCTCTCAACTTTAAAAAGTCAGTTCAGGCACCACCTCTTCCATGAAGATTCCTCTGCACCCATACCAGGAACCAGTGGCCCCTGACTGAACCAGTCACAGCACCTCTGTAAACAGCCACGAGAACCCTAATCTGTCACTGCTTTCTTTTCTCCTCAAAAAGACTGAAAGCTCTGACAGGACAAAAACTGTGTGCATGATTTCTCTGTGTCTCGGGGCACTGACACCACCACAGACACTCAGACCATGCTTGCTGAAAGACTAAATGCATGGACACATTTAACCTACATATAACCCACAAAGGAAGTATATAATGACTATTTTTACCAAAAAAAAAAAAAAAGATGAGGCTGATAACCCGCCCAAGTTTCAAAGTGATGTGACTCACAAACTGGTATTATTGAAAGGTTTTTAAAATATGAAAGACTCAAATGCAAATGAAGAATGATGTCATTATAATCATACAGTAGTCATCAACTTACATTCTGACAAGATTCTGAATCACAGACTAAACATTTGCTACTTTAAAGACCATGGGGGAAACCAACAGTTGGTGTAATGGTTTCGTAGTGGACCACGGTTCAAGTCCTGGACCCAACAACCTAAAGCTTTGGGAGCACGTGCATGTGTGCCCAGGATCCCAAAGGAGAATGGAGGAAAAGGGACTGCAGCATGACCACCCTCCCCCCAAAATGGGGGGGGGGATTTTTTTGCTTTCTGTCTCTCTCTCTCTTTAGTGAGCGCACTTGCTTTACAGCAAAAATCTCATTAAAAAAAAAAAAAAAGACCAGAGGGGAACCAGCAGGTGGAATGGAGGTTGAGGTTCTAGACTCCCACATGGCTGACCACAGTTCAAGTCCCAAACCTGGCAGATTGTTTTCTCTCTCTCACTGTTTCCCTCTGGTAAGCACACATGCCCTACAGCAAAGTGAAAAATAATAACAATAAATAAAATTAAATAATTCTTTTTTTTGAGAGAGAGATTTTGCTATAGGGTGCGTGCGTTCACCAGAAAGACAGAGAGAAACAGAGAGACAGAAAGCAAGAAATCACCCCCCCAAGGGGGGATGGCCACACCTCAATCCCCTCTCCTCTTTTCTCCTCTCAGGATCTTGGGCACGCACGCACACATGCCCGGCATGAGTTTAAGCCTCTGGATCCGGGGCTCGAACCGTGGTTGACTGCATGGGAGTCCAGCGACACAGCCATTACGCTAACTGCTGGTTCCCCAGATAATTCTTTAAAGACAATGGGACAGGCACTTTCTTAACCAATTTGACCTTAAGCATTTCCAACAATAAACATGAGATTACCACTCAGACCTTATGATATTTGGGTGGGGATTAAAATGGACAAAAACACTTAAAATGCCCATTCCAGTTCCTGACATACAGTAAAATTGTATCGATAACATTAGTTTCTTGGGCCAGCAGGTGGTGCAGTGGTTAGAGGTGCTGGATTCCCACGTGGCCAACTGTGGTTTGAGTCCCAGACCTGGTGGCTTGCTTTCTCACTTTCCCCTTCTCTCTCTCTCTCTCACTCGCTTGCTGTCTCTGGTTAAATGGTTAAATTAAAAAAAATAATAATAATAACAAATGGAATTAAATAATTATTTTAAAAATTAAAAAAAAACATTAGTTTCTTATTTATTCCAGCGTCTTTTCTCCCCTTCTAAAACAAGAGCACGTGACATCTCAACTCTATGTATAATCCACCTCTAATATTTCACAAACTTACCTGATTATTTACATATATCATGCTGTACACTGAGGGTAAGGAAACATAGGTCTTGTCAGGAAAGAGAAAGACATGTCTACACAAGAGGAGTGCATGCTAACAGCACCAACTGGCAATAGAAATTTTTAAAAACTTTACCTCTGGTTATGTCTGTAAAGTACCTACCCTGAGAGGAAAATTTAAAGGCCGACGGTAAGGCTGAAAGCCAACAGGCCCTCCCTGCTGGAGTATGGCTTGGTGGGCTGCGTGCAGGCCTTCCCCCACCACGGGAATGGCATTGTTATTTCGAGCATGTTGGTTATTGTTGACTTGCTGGTTTGCACTGTTCTCGTTTTCTTCCTGGTCTCCCAATAAATAAGAATGAAGATCCCTATGCAAAAATTACATCAGTAGAGAGTCTCACTTCAGGTCAGAACATAACAGACAAGAGAGAGCGCCTCAGTATTTTACTACTAAGGGCAGAACATGCACGTGTAGGGGTCCAGTCACAACAGCATGCCCTGGATCCTGCCACTGGCAAGCTGAAGACCATGGAAGGCCCGGGTTTGACTGCTGGCCCATCTTATAATACTGGGTGTGGTGGCATGGAAGGCTGAGGTTGGAGGAGCGAGAGCTCATATCCGGTGTGGGCGACATAACAAGATGCTGCCTGCAAGTCAGGTGTGGCAGTGTGTGCCTGTGGTCTCAGACACAGACAGGCTGGGGTAGAAGGACTGCAACACAGGTAGAGCCTGACCAAAATACGACACCGTATCTGTCCCCATTGCACGCCAAAATGTCACATAAAATCTGTACATAGCACTGTTGCCTCAGTATGATCTAAATACAGTGCCTACTTTAACCTTTCTCAACTTAATGTTAACTAACTCAGAATATCCCATAAATTCAATCTAGTTTATGTTTTTTATAATCATATCTCAGAAAGAATCAGGAACTAAAAAAAGACAATGTACAAGATACTTATGTGAGTACCTTAAGGAAGGGAAAAAACTACAGATGACTATTATGTGTCAACTGAAACCTCCGATCTGCAAGTCAAAATGAGACTGCGGGAAGCAGTAGTTGGAGGACGGATGTTCAAATACAACCACATCCCTGTTTCATGTTACAATACGTACAGGTTGACAAAAATTGTGTGAAAAGTTCTTAAATCACAAAGATGTAACTTTTAAGTAAGAATTTAGCACAAAAATTTTGGAAAAAATAAGTAACTACAACAAGATGACAGAACAATTCATGAATCAAATCTGAGAAGAGCTCAGTTATCGGGTTAGTTGTTCTAAAATAAAAATGAGTTAGTTTTTAAAGCTCTAAAAAAACCTTTTTTACCCTGTGTAATGACATAAAAGAAACTGAACCAGCAGGAAACTTCTTTAAAAAGGCAAAAACAAACAAACAAAAAAAAGCATGTGTATCTCTATAAAATGCAGAATAATTTAAAAAATAAAAATTTTTATTTTAGAAATATGACTGGGTCATTGGAAAAGTCATGATGCATTTCTACACAGAAAAATGTCATGACTTTTCTGACAACCCAATATATAATGTACAGATAGTACAAAATTGTCTCTTATTAAAACTAATTTTTCCTGAGTGGGGCATGGAACATCTCTTTCAGAAAGGTTACTAGACAAATAAAATGACATACACGCCTAAGGAGTCACTGCCCATACTCACAGCAAGTATCCGGCGGTAACTGTCCACGCTCGCACGAGACCCTTCAGCCACTGTCTTGTGTGTCCCTGCTCAAGCAGTGCTGGTAAGACAACCTGAAGCAGAAGCAGCTCAAGGGACAGTTCACTCACTGGAGCATCACTAGGACAATGACAGAAAGCCATGATTTACCATGTCAATTCCACGCTATATTACATATCTGATGTGACTAAAACCAAGCTCCTCGTAGAGGTGGACAAACCCACTGTCTGTTGCCTCTCCCCCCGTTCTCTCGAGCCCAGTGAGGCCTTCCCAATGCCATCAAAACTGTTCTTGCTAAGGGGTCGCCCATGACCTTAATGTTTCATCAAGGCTGGTTCTCAATCCCACACCCGGACCTCTCCTCCCTCATCTGCATTTGCTCCTGTGGTTTGGAACATCTTTCTGTGTATTTCCATCTACTCCTCAGGCATCGTCCCTAACGCCTATCTTGTGTATCCAAAAAGCCAATTCAATGTTTCACAACAACACAACATGTACTGGGCATCTTAAAACTGGTGTCTGATATCAACTTCCCTGGTTACCCTGATTCAAACATCAAACTAAAGAAAAAGATATATACACTATTCCCACAAATATGTACAACTATTATGTGTCAACTAAAAATTTTAAAAAGACCCAGTCACAGCGGCACAAGTAGGAGGGTGCTGCTGCATAGTGCCTGAGGCCACAGGGGAGGTCCAGTTCTGATTCCTAGCCAAACCTAAAACCGGCCAGGTGCAGCTGTACACACCCACGGTCCTAGCTAACTAGAAGGTTACGGCAGGAGAGCCAGGCAAAAATACCCTCTTCCATCCTCCATTCCCATTTCTCTCCCATGTTCTCTTTCACAAAAAAGAAAATTTTTATAAAAAAATTTTTTTAAAGAATATATACACTATTCCCACAAATATGTACAACTATTATGTGTCAACTAAAAATTTTAAAAAGACCCAGTCACAGCGGCACAAGTAGGAGGGTGCTGCTGCATAGTGCCTGAGGCCACAGGGGAGGTCCAGTTCTGATTCCTAGCCCAACCTAAAACCGGCCAGGTGCAGCTGTACACACCCACGGTCCTAGCTAACTAGAAGGTTACGGCAGGAGAGCCAGGCAAAAATACCCTCTTCCATCCTCCATTCCCATTTCTCTCCCATGTTCTCTTTCACAAAAAAGAAAATTTTTATAAAAAATTTTTTTTAAAGAAATGAATATATTGGGTCATCAGAAAAGTCATGCACAGAAAAACAGAAAAATACGTCAAGACTTTTCTGACGACCCAATATGCAGCTGTTTGATGTACAGGTATATCAAATTCCTCATGTTCTCTCAATCCTGCTTCTTTTGCAGTCGTCATTTCAGTAAATGGCGACTACATCCTTCCAGGTGCTGAGACAAACTCCGATCTTTGACTTTCTTCTTTATACCACACGTCCAGACAGCCAGGAGTTCTGCAGGCTATACCTTAACCCAACCCCACATCGGAACCACTTCTAGCCTCCACTGCTGCCTCCATCATCATCATCACCCCCCCACCCCCCAACACCACCGACTCATCCTCCTCACTGGCTTGTTTCTGACCTGGCTACTCCAACCCAGTCTCTTATCACAGCAGCCAAAGTGATCCTCTTTAAACCTAAGTTAGAGCGCTCCTTTGCGCAAGCCTTCAAGAGCTCCCCAACTTGCTCAAGAGAAAGCCAACATGCGTAGGCTAGCCTACATGGCTCTCTTGGAGCTGGTTCTCCATGATTGCTTGGACTTGATGGCCCACTCCTGTGCCTTCTCTATTTACTAAGCCAGAGTGCCCCCCCCACTGGCTGCTCCTGAAACAGACATGGGTGCCACCGCATCTGCCAACCCTCTGCAAGGACACTCTGCCTCCAAAGACTGACATGATTCACTCCCTCCTCATCTCTTTCAGGGCTTTCCTCAACTGTCTGCTCCTTGGGTCTTCACGAGTCACTTTTCCTAAACTGCCACATCGTCCTGACCACTCTTCTCCAACCCCTTTTTGGTAAGTTATTTTAATGTCTGTCTCCCCCATTAAAACATAAGCTCTACAGGAGGAGAGATTTTTTTAAAAATCTAGATTTATTCTCTATTATGTCCCTAGCACATAGAAAGGTACCTGGTATATAAGGAGCCCTCAATATTGTTAAATGGAAGATTGGACCCAATACTGCCACGCAGCACAAAACTTTGCTAAACTTAGAGGTATAACTGAGTACTCAAAACAGATTTATCCCAGTACTACGTAGAGGCCGAACTGTGTTTCTTGGTTCTCATGATTGGACCAAGATATACACTAAAGGTAAGAAATAGAGAACTATCCTCCAATCTACAAAAGTGTGAAGTGCAGAAAAATAAGTGTTACTACAAAAAAAGTAATAATTTAAAAAGTCATAAACAAAGGACCAGCAGATAGCATAATAGACTCCCATGTAGTCAACCATGGTTCGAGTCTCGGACCTGGTGGTTTGCTTTCTCAGTTTCTCTCTCTGGTCAAATTAAAAATAAATGAATGAATAAATAAAATAATCCTTTAAAAAAATCTAGAAGTATTGAGGATGAATCATAAATAAAGAGTAAGAAGGCCTAAAGAAAGGTAGTAAAATGGCAAAATGTTTAGATTAGTCAAAAACCTTAAGGAATTAAAATTGAAAAGATTTTACAAGTAATTAAAGTAAATTTGAAGAAATTCAATTCTCCTGCAACTGGGAAAGCTACTGGGGGAATAACGCAAGTCCCTAAGAAAGGGAAGGTAAACGTGAGATTTCCAGGTGACTTGAGCACGTACAGTAGTACATTTCTGGGGACAGCAGGCGACACATGGTGAGGCACTGGATTACATGTGTCCAACTGCACTGTGTGGAACCGGACCTGTGGCCTGAAAGGTCTGCTGCGCACGCATGTGCACATGCCCAAGATCCTGAGAGGAAAATGGAGAAGGGACGGTGGCAGGACCATTCCCCCACCCCCTGGGTGAGGGTGATCTCCTACTTTCCCTCTGTCTGTCTTGTCTCTCTCCAGTGAGCCCATGTGCCCTCCAGCCAACTCGGGGGAAAAAAAAAAAAAAAAAAAAAAAGATTTTCATTGACAAGCTTTGTAGCCAGCTTTTAAACTGCCAGAGTACGTGGACTCGCCACACAGAGAAAGGGAGAAAGCATCTCCCTACACCCTCCGTGGGGCATGATCACTGCCCCTTGGGTCTTCACAAGTCATTTTTCCTAAACTGCAACATGATCTAAAATATGACAAAAATTTAACTATCAGGGGGCCAGCACACGGCTTGGTGGTTAAGGGCACTGGACTCCCACGTGGCAGATCACGGTTCAACTCCCAGACCTGGCTACACACACTTGCTCTCGCTTGCTCACTCTCTCTCTGATCAAAAATAAATAAATAAAGTTAAATAAAGTAATTCTTAAAAAAAATTTAACTGTCAGATGATTTGTAAGAAATGAATGTTTTAAATGTTTAGGGTAATTTGAACATCAAATTCCCTCACAGTGATAAATTAGTAAAGCCATTCCAAAATTTTCCAACTTACCTGTAGAGCATGACATTGTACGGAAGAAAATTAGGCAGCAGACTCTTAATTATACGTATAGGAAGCCAAAGCATCAGCAGGACGATGGAGCCGAAGACAATCTGCGGTGAGAAGCAGGGTGTGACACCAGATGGCCACTGACTCCCAAGTCAGGCAGGCAGTCTCCTGACCATACTCAACTCATGTGCAGTCTAGGTCTGTACCCACCCAGAGCCTGGGCATGCTCAGTCTACACACTATCCTGGGATCACTGTGTAAAATCGCATTTTGAGGGAGGCCAGTGCTCTGCTGTAAAGATCTGCCTCTGATCTTGGGCACATGGACTTAAACAGGAGCCACAGAAGAAAATCACTGCCTGGTGCATAAGGAGAAGGCTAGAAACCTACAAGGAAAGACAATTCACCTGCAACTTAGGAAATTACCTGTATCCACCTAAGACATAACTTTTGTTAATGGCTATGGGAAGTTTCTCAAGGGCACAATATTAATTTTAGAAGTTTATGTTGGGGGACCAGCGGATGGCATAATAGTCACATCACTGGACTCCCACATAGTCAACTGTGGTTCAAGTCCCAAATCTGGGGGCTTGAAACACACCAGGCACATGTGTGAGTGTGCCCAAAGTCTCAAGAGGAGAATGGCGGAGAAAGGACTGCAGCATGGTGTCCCCATTGGAGGGTGATTTATTGTTTTCTGTCTCTCTCTTTCTGGTGAGCGCACATGCTCTATCACAAAAATATCTCAAAAAAAGAGTTTATTTTGGAAAAACTTCATTTTTTTTTAAAGTTTTGCTAGAGGGTATTTGTCTTCACCAGAAAAAAAAAGGGAGTGGAAAAGTGAGAAAGTGTAGGCTTGGGGATGGGGGATGGTCATGAGGATGGGGATGGTCATGGGGACAGAGATGAGGAAGGTCATGGGGATGTGGAAAGTCATGGGGACAGGGATGAGAAAGGTCATGGGGACAGGGATGGGGAAGGTATAGGGACAGGGATGGGGAAGGTCATGGGGACGGCAATGGTCATGGGGATCAGGATAACCATGGGGATGGGGATGGACATAATGCAATCCCTTCTCCTCCTCCATTTTCCCTTTTGTGATTTTGGGCATGCAAGCACACAGCACTAGGTCCAGGACTTAAACCACTGTCAGCCATGTGGGATCCAGCCACCTTAACCATCATGCAATTGGCTGGGTCCAGACAAACTAGGTAATTTCTTCTTTGAAGTAGGGAAGAAACCTTGAGATGTTCTGTTAAGAATTTAATTTAGGGGTCAGCAGATGGCAAAGCAGTTACATGACTGGACTCCCACATGGCTGAGCACAGTTCCCAGTCCCGAACTTGGCGGCTGGAAACTCACATCAGGCGCATGTGTGCCCAAGATCCCAGGAGGAGAATGGAGAAGGGATTACAGTGTGGCCATACCCCTTCCCAGGGATGACTTCTTACTTTCCTTCTCACTGTCTCTGCCTCTCTCCAGTGAGCACACACACCCAAGACAAAAACCTCTTCAAAAAAAAGAAAAAGAAATTAATTTAGGGAGCCAGGAAGTGCATAGAGGTTAAGGTGCTACACTCCCACATGACTGACAATAGTTCCAGTCTGGTACCCGATGGCTTGCAAATCATGCCAGGCATCTGTGCATGTGTACCCAAAATCCCAGGAAGAGAATGAAGAAGGTATTGTAGTGTGGCCATCCCCTCTGAGTGTGATTTCTCTTTCACTCTCACTGTCTCTCTCTCTCTCTGGAAAGGGCATATGCCCTTCTAAATTTTTTTAAGTTTAGAAGCCATAACAAATATCTGTTGCTTCAATAAACACTGACAATAATTCAGCACCCCTAAACTGACCTTGATAAGTAAGTTCCACAAGCAGAGAGAAATATTCAAAAAATTTCATGGAAAAACAAAATTAAAGTATGAGTTTACTTCAGTAACAAGAAATTGAAATCCGTGTAGTTTTTGTTTTTTTAATATTTGGAAAAACTTCATTTTTTTTTAAAGTTTTGCTAGAGGGTATTTGTCTTCACCAGAAAAAAAAGGGAGTGGAAAAGTGAGAAAGTGTAGGCTTGGGGATGGGGGATGGTCATGAGGATGGGGATGGTCATGGGGACAGAGATGAGGAAGGTCATGGGGATGTGGAAAGTCATGGGGACAGGGATGAGAAAGGTCATAGGGACAGGGATGGGGAAGGTCATGGGGACGGCAATGGTCATGGGGATCAGGATAACCATGGGGATGGGGATGGACATAATGCAATCCCTTCTCCTCCTCCATTTTCCCTTTTGTGATTTTGGGCATGCAAGCACACAGCACTAGGTCCAGGACTTAAACCACTGTCAGCCATGTGGGATCCAGCCACCTTAACCATCATGCAATTGGCTGGGTCCAGACAAACTAGGTAATTTCTTCTTTGAAGTAGGGAAGAAACCTTGAGATGTTCTGTTAAGAATTTAATTTAGGGGTCAGCAGATGGCAAAGCAGTTACATGACTGGACTCCCACATGGCTGAGCACAGTTCCCAGTCCCGAACTTGGCGGCTGGAAACTCACATCAGGCGCATGTGTGCCCAAGATCCCAGGAGGAGAATGGAGAAGGGATTACAGTGTGGCCATACCCCTTCCCAGGGATGACTTCTTACTTTCCTTCTCACTGTCTCTGCCTCTCTCCAGTGAGCACACACACCCAAGACAAAAACCTCTTCAAAAAAAAGAAAAAGAAATTAATTTAGGGAGCCAGGAAGTGCATAGAGGTTAAGGTGCTACACTCCCACATGACTGACAATAGTTCCAGTCTGGTACCCGATGGCTTGCAAATCATGCCAGGCATCTGTGCATGTGTACCCAAAATCCCAGGAAGAGAATGAAGAAGGTATTGTAGTGTGGCCATCCCCTCTGAGTGTGATTTCTCTTTCACTCTCACTGTCTCTCTCTCTCTCTGGAAAGGGCATATGCCCTTCTAAATTTTTTTAAGTTTAGAAGCCATAACAAATATCTGTTGCTTCAATAAACACTGACAATAATTCAGCACCCCTAAACTGACCTTGATAAGTAAGTTCCACAAGCAGAGAGAAATATTCAAAAAATTTCATGGAAAAACAAAATTAAAGTATGAGTTTACTTCAGTAACAAGAAATTGAAATCCGTGTAGTTTTTGTTTTTTTAATAGTTTTTGTTTTTTTAATAATACACATTTTCCAGGAACTTTTTGAAGACTCCTGTCAGTTGGTCAGTGTACTCTACTAGACCTCTTGATTATAAACAAACAAAAAACTGAGAAAAACTAAAAGGTAAAGCACTTTATTCAGAAAAAACAAGGCCCACCAGGCACAGTGGCACAAAGGGAACAGCACGCGGTGGGGAGGCTGGGAGAGGCACGGGTGGTGCTATCCGAGTGTAGTTCCCATGCCCATCCGAACACCGCTGGCACTGCGGTGCTCACCTGCAATCCTAATAATTACCTGGGAGGCTGGGAAAGGAGAAGCACGACACTGATAGGACCTTTACAAAAATCTCTCTCTCTGGGTCTATTTCCCTGTCAAAGAAAAGAAAAGGCGTACTCACCACTGACAAAATAAATCTTCGGAGATGTCTATAAATAGGCAAGTGGATCATTTCCTGTACTGGATTAAAATCTGGATCATTCAAATTTCTCAGAAACCACAAGACACCAGGTCGAAGTACCTACAAATGTATTTTTAAGGTTATAAATACTCACTATTGTCTTCTGGCTCTGTATATGAACTAAAATATTAACAAAAAATAAAACATCCTAAAATTATTCTGGCATCTAAAACTATGTCCCAGAAAACTCATATAGTTTTTCTGGGAAAACAGTAAGTCCCATAAATCAGAATCTATGAAAACTACCCTGTGTACGATGTCCATTGATGCTTTTAATTATTTGCTGGGAAAAAACATGCATTGAATCCAGTTTACCAAGAAATTTAGATCTCTGAGATGAAATATATACAAAACAAAACCATTACTACATTGTATCATCTGTTCAAGGGATTATATTGCAAATATACATGAACTAAATAGATCTGATTTGTCTTACGTTCCCCAGAATTACATTGATTAAAAAAGTGTACAGCCTCTCAGTATCACCATTATAACATATGCATCCTTTTACCCCTTTAAATAGAAACCATCACGACCCAGAAGCCATGGTGATGAGTGATGGATGAGTGTCAGTGCCAGTCTGGGTGATTCAGACCCACTGAATTACCTACTAGGTCTGTTGGGAAAGTCACGATGCATTTTTGCATAGAAAAACCTAGAAAAATATATTATGACTTTTCTGGCAACCCAATACCATGAAGCATCTAATCTGCCCAAATATTTGTCTGTATCTTCCATCTTTTAGGTTCTATCAAATTCCAAAGTACTAGAATTCTGTTTCAATAAAAGACCACACTGGTAAATGGAAAATTAATTATAAAACAGTTATCAATTAACAACATAGAGTTTACATATAATTACAAATTTTTAAAAAACATTGTTATACTTACTTTAGTCTCAACCATTTGTTTCAATTAAAGAATGCAAACAGAACCTTTTGTAACTTACTTTATCTGCAAATAGAATTTACTGAACTTAGGACCACCAGTTGGCATAATGGCTATGTCGCTGGACTCCCAAGTAGTTGACTGTGGTTTGAGTCCCGGACCCAGTGGCTTAAATTCACGTCGGGCACGTATGCGTGCGTGCCCAAGATCCCAAGAGAACAGAGGAGAAGGGATTGCGGCGTGGCCATTCCCCCTGGGGGGTGATGTCTCGCTTTCTTGCTCACTGTCTTTCTGGCAAGTGCACATACATGCCATATAGCAAAAATCTCTCTCTCAAAAAAAAAAGAATTTACTAAACTTATACTGTATGTTTTGGCCCCCAATCCCACCCCTTCTCAAATCTTTCAAAGAGTCGAGTACACCGAGCACTACACGCAATCTCCATGTTTGGGTTCCACTCCACCAGATGGGCAGCCTGGCCCCTGGAGCTGTACAGCTCCATCACCAGCCTCGGTGTAGTAGCCCCCCTGTGGCTGGTCCTCTCTGGGCCATGACATGGGAACTGCAATCGTGCCATTCCCAGTATAATCACCTCTGCACACAGCACTGTACCGGCACAACACAAGCACTCACTGACGAAGGGGCAAAGACTGGGCTACAGATGGGTAGTCATGGAACACCATGACTGCTTTCATCTTCAAATCACTAAGGACTGGATTCTCTCTGGGTTTTTTTTTTTTTTTTTTTTTTTAGGGGGGTTTTTTTTTATAGGGGTGTTTCCAACCAGAGACAGACAGACAGAAAGCAAGAAATAACCCCCCGGGGATGGCCACACCGCAATCCCTTTTCCTCCATTCTCCTCTTGGGATCTTGGGCACACATGCACACGCACCCGGTATGAGTTTAAGCCACCAGGTCTGGGACTCGAACAGCGGTCGACTACATGGGAGTTCAGCGACATAGCCATTACGCGAACTGCTGGTCCCACTAAGGACCAGATTCTGAAAGCGGGATTAATAAAGCTACCCCTCTGGCAAAAGAACTGGAATCCTAAAGCATCCTGACTGTAAAAACTGTTTTAAGTATCTGATCCTACAAGAGTATTGTCTCCTTTGGGTATTTCCAGCTTTACAACTCCTTAAATTGATACGAGACAGGCTCACATGACACAAAATTCTAAGAGTTTGTATCAAAGAATGACTACAATATATATCAAATAAACAAGCGATTTTTCTTCTCAATCTAATCATCATTCAAACTGACAACTGATTATAGATGAAAATCTTAAAACCTGTCAATTTCTAAAACAAACAACTGAAAATAGTTTAAAGCTATCAAGTCAAAGTTCCCTATCGATTCATTATTCCTGCTTAGAATAGAACAGTAAAAAAATATGGCTTAGCTAGGAAATCACCATCGACACTGAGGCATGACTAGTGATCAAACAGAAGTCCTCTTCCTAAATGCACAGTATCAGCATTTCCCAGTAGGACTTACCTCTCTCAGTAACAGAATGAAGGAGGCAAAGTAGAACACGTACACCATTCCCACTAGCCAGTGCAGAAACATGGTAGTACCTGGAGCTGACTGAAAACTCAGTTCTCGATCTTTCAAAGTAGCATCGAACATTTCCTAGGCCAAAACAGGACAGGTGAGTTCTGTACCGCCTACGTTTGCCATATTATCATTGATATCTTCTAGGTAGCCCTCCTTAGTAGAACAGTTTTTACGAATATGATCACTATGTACATAAGGCAGGATGTTCTGGGATGTTCTCTTAATGCCGTTTCAATGTGCCCTGGAACTGTATGTGATACGAGATTGGATACTACACTTCAAAGATGTACACAGCACTTCAACCGTCTCAAATGCTGGGCTGGCTTGGTGGCACAGCAGTCACATGCTGCTCAAGCACTGTCAGATCGAGATGGAAGACAGCAGGTCTGGTTCCAAGGCCGACCTGTACATGACGGTCACACATGTTCCTGGCTGGCTGGCAAGGCTGATGGAAAGTGTGGCATGAGATCCTGTTGAGATAGTGCTGCTCTCTCTGTCTCGCTCTCATGAAATTAATCAAAAACTTTTTTTTCTATTTTTACATAATAAAAATTCTAAATATAAAGAATGACAAACCAATTAGTAAATAAAAGCTTAACTAATACTGTTACAATGAAAGAGCCATTTTTGATTTCTAGAAAACCTTTCCTTGATTAATGGTTTGTATCCATGAGAGGTTTTTTTGTTTTGTCTTTAGTTTTTTGCTGTATGTCTCTTGCCAGAGAGAGAAATCACCCCCCAGGGGAGATGGCCATGCCACAATCCCTTCTCCTCCAGTCTCCTCTCAGGATTTTGGGCACACATCCATGTGCCAGACTGATTTTTAAGCTGCCAGGTCCAGGACTCGAACCACATGGTCAGCCATCTGGGATCCAACACCTTAAACCTCCATGCCACCTGCTGACTCCCTGAAAAATTTTTATAGTTAAGATATGAGTGTATATAGGAACCAGCAGTTAGCGTAATGGCTATGTCGTTGAACTCTCATGTAGTCGACCGCGGTTCGAGTCCCGGACCCAGTGGCTTAAAACTCACTCCGGGTGCGTGTGCATGTGTGCCCAAGATCCCGAGAGGAGAATGGAGGAGAAGGGATTGCGGCATGGCCATCCCCCCTGGGGGGTGGTTTCTCGCTTTCTATCTCTGTCTCTCTCTGTCTGTCTGGCAAGCGCACGAGCCCTATAGCAAAAACCTCTCAAAAAAAAAAAAAAAAGGGATGGGTATATATTTTAACACAAAACTAGAGGCAGCTTTCCCACATACAAACTGTTTGGAATACCATGATTATCGCAACAGTCAGCAAAGATTATAATCAAGCAGGAACAGACAGCGGCTCTGCAGTACGATGAAGTGCTCCGCTCGGCTACCCACGTGGGAAGTCCCAAGGTCCACACTCGGAGACCTCTGCGTACCTCCAGGCCCACTCATCACATGCGCTGGGGCTGGGCTTGGGCACGAGGTGGGTCACAGCATCAAGACTGTTGAGGGTGCTATCTTTCTTTTTTTTAATTATTTTATTTAAATTTACTTACTTATTAATCAATCAATCAATCTGACCATAGAGGGACAGAGTGAGAGCAAGAGAGAGAGGGAGAGAAAGTGAGAAAGCAAGCCGCCAGGTCTGGGACTCAAACCTTGTGGGAGTCCAGTACCCTTAACCACCACACCACCATCTC